CAACACGAGGACGAGCATGGTGTTCCGGTGGCGAAGGTAAAACATGGTGCATGAATGTCCTATATAGTTTTATTTATGTGTGCATATGGGTGCCGCTGTGTGCATAGGGGTGCATTCTACATGCAATGTAATCATTGTTTGGATTCTGCATAAACAATTGATCGCAAGACTCAAGACTGTGCCTAGAATCCTAGGGTCACACAATCGAAAAAGTATTGATCTGGAAACCGTGCCTCAGAGTCCTGTAAACACTATGCCCAGAATCTAAAAACAACAAACAATGATTGCTCAGAATCCTAAAACCATTACAACATTCATTGGGACACTATGTCCAGAATCCAAAAACAACAAACAATAATTTGGAAGCTACGCTCAGAATCCTAAAACCAAAACAAATCAAAACAACATTCATTTGGAAACTATGCCCAGAATCCTAAAGCAAACAGCAATGATTTGTACACCATGTACATTCTACAAAGGTTGGGACTAGTTTTGGAAACATTGTGTCAGTTTATGTTGGGACTAGTTTATAAAGCATTGTTTATTTTGTATGTTTGTTTTGCTGTGCTTGGGGATCACTGTTCATCCTTTGTAATTGTATGCTGTGATGAGTGTGGAACGCAATTGGTGGTTGTTTTTAAGGGATGGATCAATGTGCAAAGAAGTGGTTTATAAACACAACACATATTTATAAACAATGCCTTCTGACGTGACCAATCGTTTACAGCATTCCAATCTCAAATGTGCAACGCGCCATCCCATTCTGTCTTCCTTTCATCAGTGTGAAGAAACTGTAGTTGAGAGTCTAAGAGCAAACATCAACGCTAAAACTATTACCTGAATTATACATATTCAGTTTGTATGCTGGAATTAGGCACGTAGGCACTGAATTTGTAAAATCAGAGATTGCAGATTTATCTAATCTTGCAACAGAAGCATATGCAACCACTGCAGTTGCAGAGTGAGGCGGTGGAGGTGGTGGTGATGGGTATACGGATGCCCAGATTGATGAATTCTTTAGCATTGAAAGCAGCCACAGCAACAACTTACGCTAAAACAGAAGTTGACACATCGTTAACAGCAATAAATAGTACATACAGCAACAACATAAACGAAGACTGAAGTCGACACATCACTAGGGCTAAAAGCCAACCAAGCAAGTAGCCCGCTACTAAAACAGACGTTGCAGCAAAAGGAAACCATGCCGCTGCCCAAACCAGAACTGAAGTAGATACCGATGTAGGCTTGAATACCGATAGTGCAGATGTGTGGCTTCCCAAGCTCTTTTGTATACATCATTAGAATCATTAGTATTAGCATTCAAAGCAAGTATAGTAGATCCCATATGAACTGCAAATGTAACTGCCAAATTCAATTGTAGAAACTCTATATTGTCATCAACTGCAAACGCTGTGACCACAAAACAACACGGCATCATCTAGGTTTCTTGGAAGATATGGAGTTGACAATTTTGGGTGTGATGACACTAATAGCAGATTGAATGTGCTCAGAGTGATGGTGTCACTCATTAAGATGAGTTCATGAGATACATACATGTAGCTATATGTTTGTAATTACTGTACATGGCATAGCTTTTTCAGGTGGCTTGAACTCAGACATTGTAAATACAGCTGCAAGTGCCAACATGCAAATTCAAAGGAACAGTGTAGATTCCATTAGATTAACACACCTGATGACAAACTAAAATTAAGTAAGCAAACGGACATACAGTAACTGCAAGTTGACAAGTTTGTTTCTTTTTAATGGTGTTGATGGAACTGTGCTATTAGGCAATGGTTGACAAAGAGTTATATACATTAGCGGTTGGTGGTGCTGGTCAAGAGATGGAGTCAAATTACTTTGCCAAAACCGATGTCATGATTGGCAACACTGAAGGTGATTTGAACATTACAAGAGCACGTAATGGAACAAAGGAACTGACTCTAGATGGTGATTCTTATTTGAGTGGTGCTGTTGAAGCTTTAGGAGAGGCTACTTCACAACTAGTCCTAAACTAAATAACCCACATTCTAGAACAGAATGATGGAGCAAACAAAGGACTACATAAGACTTTGCAGTGGCTTTAATGATTGTTTAACTTTACAGTGAGTTTAACGGCAGTTCATTGGAACAACTTGATAGAGAGTATTGAAGTGTTGAAGATGAACTGATTCAACATACAACATCACGAGTTGAGAGATTTGCTGCCGGACCCGAGCTTCAAGCCTGCCTCGGCCCAGGCCGCACCGAAGTGGTCAAAGGACACCCTACGGGGACTGGAAGATCCAACGGATCCCGATTCCCCCCAGCCCAAAGGGCATCGCTACGTTCGGAGCTTCTGAAGCTACGTTCGGAACAAAGGGCCATCGCTACGTTCGGAGCAAACACGCTACGAACGGGGCTCCTGGCATCGCCAGAGCCTCGTCTTTGTGGCGCCGCTTGAGGTCCAGTCACTTCCACCCGCCCGGACGCACGACGGAGAAAGCGGTCCAAGCAGCAGCGGCCGCACGCGAGGCTGAGGCAGATGGAGATGATGATGATGATGGGGATGGGGGCATGTGGGGGCATGTGGGGGATGGGGTTTTGGAGCTTATAGGAAAACTCGCAACAAACATATATACTGCATGCCCTGATGATCGGCGCCATGGTTGGAGAAAAGTGGGTCTTGGATGGTCCCCCGGAGGACCCGTGTCTTCGACCCTGACCCAGGTGCTGGTGGATTTGCAAAGGATAGTGTTAATTAACTGACTGGTGCTTAGCAGGGAATGAGGAAATGGATCCAATGGAATCTCTACAGGGGTCTCATTCCCTTATTCCCTACTAAGCACCAGTCAGTTAAGTCATTAAAGGATTCCACTTCTCAATTTTTGGTATGTCGATCCCCTGCCACATAGACATACCAAAGAGTAGACCACCTTCAACCCCGTGGAGTTGCAATCGAACATGAAGAAGAAATGAGCATCAAGTAGAAGATAATGATATGGTCTCCAACCTAATAGTGATGGCCTCCAACCTAATTAGTAGCGATGGCCTCCAACCTAGTAGAAGCATTACATTTTTCTCTCTTGCAAGTAGGTGCCTGCTTGCCCACTTGCCCTAAATAAAGCCTAGTCTCTATCAGCCTTCAGCCGCTCTTCGTGCGAGACCTGGACTCTCCACTGGCTCCCCAGTCGGTCACAGGCACGTGCCAAGAAGCTGGCGCAGGAGTTGCAGAAGGAGGCTCAAGTCTTGCAGGCGGATTGGGTTCCGTTGGCTTCTTGAACAGTTCTTCAATCTGACTATGGGATGGGATACATGACATGGGGACAAAAGGGTTTCACCCACATGTCACATGTCTCTGGGCCATTTTGATGCAGTGTAGAAAAAAAAGAGACCACGAATCGGAGCCAGGGCCAGGACTTGGGTCATCCTTATCATTCTCAATCCGCGGACCCCACCGGTGGCGCATGCGCCCTCATCGGACGACCACACGATCTGTTCGGTCAACCAGCCCCGATGTACCAGACCCAAAGGCGACCCCTCATAGCCACCATTTGGACCCTCACAGGGTTTTGGACCTCAAAGATGTAGCAGTTTGGTTTGTCCAGGGTCGCCTCTGGGTACGAATATCTCAGTCCCATTCGTCATGTTCGGGCTCGGGATCCATCGAAGGGACGGAGGGACGAAGGGAGACCTGAGCCCTGCGTCGAACGCATCACCGAAAAGAGGGTGGATCCATCGGGGAGAAGGGCCGACAGAAACGGGTCATGTCCTCCACTCCTGGGTTTGTTGGTGGGGTTTGGCAGGAGGTTTGGCAAGTCAGGAGGTTTGTCTGATAGGTCTTCACCGAACTTCTTGTGGACCTTTCGTCCTCAGAAAGGCCTACTAAACACTTGGGCCATCTTGGACCGCACAGGGCAGAAAAGGCATGTTTCGTTTCAACTCAAAAGAATTGAAGAACCAGAGTGACCCAAAGCAGAACACGGCATTGCTTGACACATGGTGCCTGATCTAGGCGGATTGCTTGACACGGTGTGGCTCCTGATCTAGGAAAACAGATCCCGCCACCGGTTCAAAACGTCTCATCCTTCTGTCCATTGCATCTATGGGCCTGTGCCACAGTGGACCTGCTTTCAGATCAAATGAAACCATCCTTCCCAGGCTGAGCTGGACCGCGCCAGTGCAGAGCACGAGGACATGAAAGCCCGCAGTGAAGGCGAGGCTGGGAGCCCGTCGACCCGTCCCCCCGAACGGGCGCTCGCCGGGTTCCACCAGGCGACCGACGTGGGCGGAAAAAGGCCTGAAAACCCGCATCCGAAGCATCGAAACCAGGAGAAGGAATGGTTGGTCAGTTAGGGGTCAGTGCTGAAACTGCTGGCGAAAGGGGATGTGGTGTTCTGTTGTTTTCTCAAAGTTCATATATATATATATATATGAAGCATAATGAAGCCATGCGCATTCGCAGGCCTTTGTTTGTGTTTGCCTAAGCGGCTGGGCCATGCGATTTGCATGCTTGGAAGGCTGCTTCTCACTGCGATTGACGCCGGTCCTTTCCTTTGCGCAATGTCTTTTCTCCAGTCACTTGCCATGTCACAGGTGCCAAAGAACAAGCCCTGGAAGCCGAGCAACAACTTGAGAAGGCTGAGAAAGCTGCCGATCCTTGGCACAAATGATTTTGTTGCGGCCCTGCACAGCACACTAAGGTCAAAGAGAACAACATGAGAATCAATGACGGTGTTGACGTATGCGAGGTTTCATGTGAACATATGTGACCATGTTCTTTGTCAAAATTCTGGATTCTCCCAAGATCCAGACTATGACATGTTGGTCAAAAAGTCAAAAGGCTCAAAGCTCGCCGGAAGGCGGTTGACCCGTGGCCCTTGGAGGCTGGGTGGGGGTCCCAACAATTGTGCATTCATCGTTTTTAGCTTTTGGGGCACCGGACACCTTGCTAGCTGGCATAGGGCACCACGTTCACGTCACCTTCCAAAGAATACCGAGCTCACACGCGAACAACTGCCGCACATCCGACGTCCCTACCCAGTCCGCGACCGAACAACTTCGAGCCATGGGAAATGAGCCGTGTAAGTGCTTGAAGAGTGGCGCTGAGAATGACATTCTAATCTTCCAGCTGCCAGTCTGTGGAGGTGTTGATGCTGTCCAGGCGGCCGTTTCTTCCGGGATTCGACAAAAGTCCCTAGAGGGCAAAAAGGCTCTACCTGCCTCAGAAGTAGGAAGGCTACAAAAATGTTCCAATACCAATCACTATGAGCGAAAAGGATGAAAAAGGGCATCAAGGGATGGGTCAAGGGATATATATCAAGCGATTTTGGGGGAACCACTTCCATGTTTGCTTCTTTTGGGAGGAACCACCCCCAGGATCGCTTGTAGCTTGACTCTCCAACCCTTAGACAGTCCCTGCAGGGTGCCTCCGGGTGGACGGGGCACTGAATGTGCAGAATGCGATCAATCAAATACCATGGGTAGCCGGATTATCCTTTGAATCCCTTGGCCGGCGTAGATCTTTGATGATCTTTCTTCTTCTTCTTCTTCTGTTTCATCATGTTTCATGTTCTTCTTCCTCCTGTTTATGGACAGTCCATCATGCACCACCCCTGCAAAGCTTGTGGAGCGGATGTGAATGGATCACGCATGTCTGCCACGCTGCGGCAGAAAATGATTTATCCACCCAACCCAGATTCCAAACATCCCGGACAAGAAATATGAAGAACATGCTCAAAGCCTTTCCAGTTTTCAGGGATATCCAGCCATATCCGTCAGTGATAGGCCAAGGAGGCGGAGGAGAAATATTTGCGAGTTCTTATTCGAGTGCAACGGCATTGGCGTGTGGTCACTGCGCGCCGAAAGATGGCTTCCCAAGCAGAAGTCTCTTATACAGCTGGCACCGCCAACAAGCAGCGATTTCTCTTACACTGGCAGGCTGGGATCTGGGAGAAGAGAATCAACGAAGAGCCCGCAGTGCACAATCGGACTCGAGGTCTATGAGGTCTATCAAGGCTAAGCAAACGACCAGGACGGACTAAGCCTTTTCCAGGACGGACCGCTCTGGCCACGTGGCCACGCCCCCTAGCCTCGCCGGTCCGCCACCGCTCCGCCGAGTTCGCGGGGCTCGACTCGAGGCCAAGTACATCGTCGCCAACAACCTTCCGGCCAATGATGCCCACTGGGATTCGGATGATCCTGCATGGGTCGGTAAGGCATCCATGTCAAAGCACCATCGCTTTTTGATCCGCAGGAATCTGCACTGGCGGTGGTCCCTGTGCTGAATTCTCAGAATTGGCCCAGCAGTTTGGGCAGTCTCGGTTCTTGATTCATGAAACGGGAGATGTTCCTGATGCTGGTTCACCTCAGATGTTGTGGGCCAAACAGAATAATCGTGAGACTAATTCTTGTCCCATTGGAACATTTGCAGCAGGATAGTACCAGACCTGAGCTCAATGCTCTTGGTGTTCGACAATGTCCAATCTTGCAACACCAAACAGTTGTCATGTCCGTTCAATCTCTTTAGCATTCTTTAGCTTCAGGTTCAATGCTCTGGTCTTCGGCATGCTTGACGAGAATGATATGGTTTACCCACACGGTCAATGCTGTCGGGAAGCGGTCGCAGAGTTAAACATGATGAAGGATGCTGCCTTGGCATGGGTTGCTGGAGTGAGGTCTGAAGAAGGGTCCCTTGGACTGGCGAACAGATCGAATGTTTTTGTTTGCTCTTTTTGAAAGAGGAACAAAGAGGAACTGAGCAACACATTTGGGTTGCCAAAGAAGCCCGACACCATGCCGTCGTCCATGAAAAAAGCCGTCGTGCTCCTCTGTGTTCTTCGGCTGAGCTGAGGTGGTCCGAGAATGTGGGGCTTTTCTTCCATTGCTATGGGCACAATAGTGTGAACTCCTTGCACTTGCACGTCATCGATATGGACTACATCGGTCCCAGCTTCCATAGTCAGGAGTTCAAAAACCTGCCATTGGAAGAAGTGCTCAAGGTCCTACAGGAAGATGCATGGTCTGCTTGGGAACATGACACGTTTTGCAAATTCACTTCTTCACGGTGTATCACGGTCTCCTCCGGTCCTCACGGTGGTACGACAGAAACCACGAAAGACGTATCAGGCGGGTTAGGCTCTCTAGGAGTGATCTTCTCACTGAGACGGACCACCGATTTCCTGGGGTGCTCCAGATTTCAAGGGGAAGAGACTGACTAACCCGACGAAGTCGTCGGGTACACAAAGCATGGAAACACATGGTGCCAGCGTTTTTCTCATTATTCCTTTAAAACCGTGTGTACACTATAATATATGTAAATATATACAAATATCAGGTCAACACCTGTGATTTTTAAGTCTGCAAACGCCACCGGAGGAGACCTATAGAGTCGGGTGCTGGCATAAGATATTTTTTTAATATCAGGGGATTCCGGGGCTTTGAGGCTTCTATATAGATGTTGATCGTATTTGGGAGTGCTTGTTCTTTGATGAATTGGACATTTCAACTGAGGATGTTGACCGGACGCCGATCAACGGCACCTTAGCCACCATGGATTCCCATCCAGCCATCGACGAAAGTGTTGACCTCAAGGCAGCCAGTGTGAAAGCCTGCCCAGTGACTGGTTTGAAGAAGAGCAAGGGAATTGCTGATTGGTGGTTTCATTGGTAGTCTTTGTGTTTTGTTTCAGGAATGAATGGGAATGACTAGCACTCCCATCCCCATGATTCAATCAGATGGCTTGGAGCCACCAATCAGTTTGGCCATGTGGAAGCATGTGGACGGAAGACTACAGGGAGTAACTATGGGATCGATCCATGATTTGGGGCCTTCCATGTTGTTTTACGTTAACATTGGCAGTGTGGTCAGACGTTTGCCCCGAAAACGTCAAAACCTTTTTGTGGGTCCTCAAACTCCCATTCCGAACAGCACGGGTCGCGTTTGAGGGACAGGTCGAGTCTCAGGCTCTCTGACTGCGATAGTTAAGCAGTGGGACGAAGGACCACCCCGGCGGTTAGAGACCACCTGGAAAATCCCCGAAGTTAGATCCTAGAAGAGTCTCCGGTCCCCCCCCCTTTTGTGTCCATTCTGGGGTACGAGTCTAGCAGTTTCCAGAGGGTGATGAAGATCACACAGAAAAAAAACACATCTGCTAAGAATCACCCTCTTGTAACATCACACGAAAAACAAATCCCCCAAGAATCTGTACACTGGGTGTCACAGGATGTCGTAGTAGGATGTCATGTCGTGAATGACGGTCTCTTCGCTCACTGGAACAGCGATTTTCACAGCCGGGCTCGTTTGGGATGTGAACTCCGATGAACGCTCAGCCGGGCGACTCGAATTGACTCGACTGGATGCCGAACCACATCGCACTACCGGGTCCCAGTCGTTTGGTCCAGTCGTCGCAGAGGTGCGTCGACCGGACCCTGCACCGTTCGGAGAGAGTTGTCCGGCGCCCGTGGTGGTTTCGTCACAGCGAGGTGATCAACAATGCGGAATCCTTTCGGGCGGCCAGAGAGAACTTCTGGAAGTTGGGGGGCCCCCGGGCTCCTCGAGCGGCAGAGCATGGGGTCGGACGGATGGCTGTGCACTGAACGTGAACGTGTGGTTTTGTTTCATGCAGAAAAAGGAGTCGCCTGACCTGGTCCACATGTGGAAAGGTCAAGTTGATGTGACATGGTTGTGGTCTTGTGTTGGTATGTTGAGGACTGAATATGAATATGTTGCAGTTATATATGTATACTTGTACTATATCTTACCATGTTTGCTGAAACAAGACCAAGGTTTTTTGGCCAGTTAGCATCAACTACCTGTGCAGTATCCTCCCTACTGGCTAACTATGTCGCTTTCATGGTAATCTTGCAGTGTCTAGGATAGAAAAGTAGTATATAGTGGAAGTTCTGAATCACAAGCTTGGGGGGTCATCATACATGTCCCATGAAAAATCATATCTTTTGCACTGCAACATGGGCCACTTTGACTCAAGACACCTGACTCATTCTGACTACCACCTTTGGCAACACACGTGTGTAAAATACACCTTATATGCACCATCCTTTGTGTGCTTTTGGGTCAGGTGGGGATGGTACAGATTCCAGGGATCCACGTGGTACAGACATGGCCCATCCACCAGGATCTCCGATGTCAAGACTTCCAAGGCTCTGAGAGATCAATTTGAACGCCAGGGCTTTTTGAAGTCGCTCAGATGGCAATGTTGGGCTCGTTGAACCCAGATGCTCCATGGGACTGCCATATTTGCCGATCAGTTGGGGTGCATATATTTTAGGCATATGTAGGCATATATTCCAGTCCCATGGAGTGTATGGTTAATTTTGGTTCTTTGAGGTTGATAATTGAACACCCATAAATGATTGACTTGGTGACCCTCCCAAGAAACCAACTGCTTTTTTTGAACGTTACTGTACAGTGAATCCACTCCGTTGGGCTGTCGTGTCTCCAAGCAGTTCAGAAGAGTTGGAGACAGACACACACCAGCTTGTTTTCGATCTAGTGTCTCCTGGCATCGCTACTAGCATGGCCAGGAGCTACTAGTAGCGTTCTCGCTCCTAGTAGCGATGGTTTGGTAGATTTTCCCAGACATTGATCAGGAAGGTTTACTCGGTACCTGAAGGAGAGTGTACAGCCCAAAAGCTGATTTTCACAGTTCCCAATCATATGGTTTCTCAGTTCAAACGGCCCTACGATGCCCTACGTACATCCAGAGTTGGCCGAAATTCGACTCGACCTCGAGGGCTTCGTGGATCGCCTCCTTGTCGCCAAGTCTCCCCAGGTTAGATGCCGCCCCACTTCAATACCTCTTTGGGGGATTGGTTTCCCCACCTCAAGATGAACCAGGGTGGACGATTCATCGGGTCAATGATTCTCAGCTTGGCCGTCAGCACATTCCACGTGACCCCTCGCTTGGCCGCTGATCCTCCCGCCCACGGACCGCGGGCTCCGCATCGATCTGGTCAGGTCGGGATCCTCCAAGCTGACGACCTCCACGAAGCCCTTCAATGTCTTCGCACGCTTGGCGTATCAAGACACGGTGGCCCGGACCTTGATCGCCTCGGAAAGTGGCCTCTCCAAGTTGACGAAATCCAGATGAGAACGCGATGAAGACGGGGTATGAATCCCAGTTGCGCGGACCGGAAGGTGTGGGACGAAGGGGCTCGGAGTGGCAGGATGCGTTGAAAATGAGACTAGTGACTAGGCGATGCTTGTATGGATGTTGTCATGTCCTGGTCCAAAGTTTATAGCAAAAAGCATACTCCAAAGTTTTTCCTATAGCGTGAAAGAACAAGAAAGAACGCCATATGTTGGGAATGTTGTACAGAAGCATCTCAGCCAGACCAGCTGTCTCATGTCTCATGCTGTCTCCATTCCTTCGGAGCCTCATCCCTCAACCATCACTCTATAGAACTACATGAGGAGACACGGCATGTGCGCCGGTGTGTGTGTGTGTGTGGCTGCTTTTGCTGTGGTTGTTGGTTGCTGGTTGCTGTGGTTGTGGTTGTGGTTGTTGTTGTTGCTGTTGCTTCGGATAAACCTCAACAAGATATCGATTGGGTTCCTCACTTTCTTTGGTCCGACGGACCCTGTGTTGAACAAGTTGCACAAGTCACGTCACATCCTCTCATGCGGGAAGCAGCGAAGAATCCCAATGCATGTCAATGCATGTATGGAATGTTTGTGAACATTATTAGCCCATTAGGGTGGTTTCAAGCGTTCTAAGAGTCAATGTATATCGTAGGAACATGGCCTCTTGGATGTGGAACATGGCCCCTTGGATGGATGACCATTTTCCTCTACAAAAGGTGGTGCCATCCACTTCCGGTGATCCCAGGTTGGGAGGGTCATCCTCCCTTAATTCAAGTCTTGTTTCTTGGGCAGAAACGCAAGGTATCCCAAAATCAAACTTCCGACTTTTCACCTGGTTCCGCTTCAGAGTGGCACCATTGAACGCAGAGATTTGGCTTCCCAACTTAAGACTTGAGGCAAATCAGTTTTGAGGATGTTTCTTCCACTTGTCCTCCACCATCAATTCTCAGGCAGGAGATTTTTCCGAATCATTCTGAAGATCTTTGAGCTCCTGGGCCTTTGGCTTTGCTCCCCGAAGTTCAGAGTGAGAGAGACTGGACTAGGCTGTGGCCATTGCAAAGCAATGGCAGCGAAGGTGCCCGGCGGGCCAAGAGAAATGCTTCAGAGAAGTGCTCATCTTCAAGAGATGAGTTCTTTCAGATTAAATCTCCAGTTGCATTGTACTGACGTTTAAAACCCATGACTTCCAGCAGTGCTCCTGCTGCACTGCATCTTATTTCGAAGATGTTCGAAGCATTTGGTTTCACTGGTGGGACAAAAGAGGCAGATGCAGAGGCGAATTTCCTGTGGAGGGTTGGAAGATGCGACCTATTCGTGTCGACCTTCAAGTGGTCGAACGAACATGCGAATCGACCATTTGAACGGTGACCTGCAGGTCCATGAATGTCCATCTGGTAGGTGCAATCGGTGCAATCGGTGCTCAATCGGTGCTTGGTTGGATGCACTTTCGGTCGACCGTCGGTGCGTGTACCATCTTGTAGCATTTTCTGAGGGTACTTTCACAGGTCGACGGTCGACTCCAGGTACAAATGGAAGACTGTAGACTCCAATGGCCTCCTCTGTCACACAAAGCACCCCCTCTACGGCCGGTCCATGGAATCTGCACGTGCTTTTCGGTGGCCTTTGCGCATGGATGTGTCGACATGGATTTTCACTCTGTTCGGCCACCGAAAACAGGGCCGAACAGAAGACGTGAAGGCCAGAACAGAAGACTTCGGTGTTCGTGAAACGAAGAAGTGTTTGGTGGGACCGGGACCAGGCTCAGACCTGATGCGGCGATCGGAAGAAAGTGAACTCGCCAAGCCTCCAACCCATATGACAACCCCGTGACAGGTGAAGCTGTTTTTCAGAAGCTGTACCCAGAACTAGCCATGCAGATCAATGGGTGTTGACCTGTAATATGTGCTCGGTCATACCCAGTAGCTGCGTAACACCAGTAGCTGCGTACTGGGTGTCCGATGTCCGACGTCTCCCAAGGATGTGGCACAGAAGGCCGCCTTGGCCGCTCAAGAGCAGAAGGTGCGGAGCTCAGGTGCGCCATCTTCCTCTCCGGCGCCATCGGCTCCGCAGTGGCGCACGCGCATCGAGTCTAGACATCACCATAGCACTGCACACGAAGTGTTTTGGGAAAGAGAAAGCAACACGGAAAGCGCAGGTTGTTGCAACAAGTGTGAACATCAGATCGTTGCTTCAGCATGGAAACACAGGGATAGTCAGACTAGATTGTTGCAGCACTAGGATGGAGGCCATTGCTACTGGGTGGAGGCCATTGCTATTACTCGTAGGTTGCAGGCCATCGCTAGTAGGTTGGAGCCAATTACAATTGGGTGATTTGTTCAGCGCAGGGACGCTGCAAGACAAAAATAGAACACGTGGCTCCAAGGGGTGCCAAACAAGTGCTCGCGCGCAAGACGCTGCTTGCACGCCAAAAGGCAACAAGAGACACTATGTTTCTTTCTGGTGTCCAACTGCCACACAGTTGAGGCTCTCCACTTTGTCACAAGAAAAGGCACGGTCTTTGGGAAAAGACACCGAACAGGTATTTTTCTGTGACAAGGCAAGGCCTGGGACATGATCGCTAGAAGTGCTGGTAAAGCAAAGGTGTATATACTTGATGAGGGAAAACCCGAAACTGTGAAATTGTTTGCACATATGTGAGCCCCTAATAGCGTCCTTGCTCCTAGTAGCGATGCCAGGAGCCCCTGGTAGCGAAGCCAGGAGCCCCTAGTAGCTTCTTGTTCCGAGCTACTAGTAGTGTCCTTGCTCCTAGGAGCGATCTTGTTCCTAGTAGTATGGCCAGGAGCCTAGAAGCTATAGTAGTATGGCCAGGAGCCCCCCATAGCGTCCTTGCTCCTAGTAGAGCACCAAAAAGAAATCTTCGAGCACATGCACTTAGCTTGTTTCCGCAAGATTCTGCAGGATCCAATAAATTGGAGATTACTCCCAAGGGTTTTGAGCAGGGACACTCCTTTCTGAGTTATACCTGGAACTTCGTTACGGCAATAATAATTGCCGTTTTCATGAAACGTCGCCTTTTTCCGTTCTGCGGCGTTCTTCCATATTGATCTCATGGGGACGGCGTTTCTTGATGAAGTGCGGCAGCTTCGGTCAGTTGACGGCAATTTTGGTCCACACATCCATGCGCCTCAAAGAGTCATTTCAAACATTTCGTTTTAGTTTTAGTGCAGGCGAGTATGAATGAAAACATTGTAGGGTCTTGCTAGAAAGGCAACTGAACGTAAAAGGCGTCTTATTATATCAGCAAACTCGCACAGTCATGTGAAGTGGAAAGGGCAGCTGATGGAAGTGTCACATGCTGGGTGTTCGTCGGTTTTCGCGGGTAACTCGACCTCTTGCGCGGCGTTGCAGAAGATTTTGCGTTTAAAGTTACGGCGTTCTTACCCGTACTTGCGGCGTTTTTCCCCGTACTTACGGCGTTTCTCCCCGTACTTACGGCATTTTCCCCCTACTTACGGCGTCGTTCCCTTACCCTGTCTAGGGCCACTCAAGGGGGCAGCAAGACTTGTCACAACATGTCACAAGCGATCCTTTCAGCCATTGCATGATCAAAATGTGAACAAATCCTGCCGTGATGTCAATCGAGACCTTAGACAAGGGCTGCAACATCTTGAAAAGTGCTACCATGAGGCTTGAAAAAGATGAGCTCTACTTACAAGTGAAAAAGGAGAAGGCAATTTCAGGGTATGGACGGACCAAAACAATATCCTATTTGGTAGATCAAACAAAAAGGCGATTCTTCTTTTGTGGCGGCGTTTTCACTTCTCTGACGGCGTTTTCACTTTCCAGGGATTGAGCTACGGCAGAAAAAATGAGTTACGGCAAAAATTATTGCCTCGGGAGGGTCTAGGTATGTCGACTGTACTCGACTAGTAGAATTTATCTGACGATGAAGTTAAGAGGGTGACAGGTGCCATCCCTTGACATAAAGGACATCATGACTAATGAGTCAATGAGGACTATGGGTGCCTCGTGACCCACAGACGTGCCAGCCCGGGTACCGACTCAGCCAATATTTCGCAACAGGCTTGAAGGAAGGCAGACCTCCGATTGGCACAAAGGGCCAATGTTCTTTTGCCACGCAATATGTTGGGTCGCAATGAATGAAATCCATTCTCGAAATCATTTAGCATGGTAGTAGTTTAGTCTCTGAGAAGTATACCAACTCTCTGATTTGTCATTACCAACATTCGATACTTTAGAACATGGGGGGTTCAACCAAGTGAAATGTCTTCAACATGGTGTCGTTGTCCCACCTTTCGATTCCTCGTTCCTCGTCGCTCCGAGGCCCTTGAGCTCCGGCGTCAGGCGTGTGGGAGATCTGGGTCTAGGACAGATATTCTAAGGCATAGAGACCATCCAGAAGCTACTGTATGACTCAGAAGCTACAGAAGCTACTACTCAGGGTGGAGGCCATCGCTCTTAGGATGGAGGCCATCGCTCGTGTGGAGGCCATTGCTCTTAGGATG